GGACCCAGAAGTGCTCTGCCACAGAGACAGAAATATAACCTCAGCACTTTCATCTTATATTTGTTTATTTATTGGTATTGGGGATTGAACCTAGGGACACTTAACTACTGTGCAACACCCCCAGTCCTTTCCATATTTTATTTAGAGACAGGGTCTCACTAAGTTGCTTAGGCCCTTGCTAAGTTGCTGAGGAGGCTAGCTTTGAAGTTGTGATCTTCCTGCCTCAGCCTCCCAAGACTCTGGGATTTTATCTTTTACTTTGAGAAAGGGTCTCTTTAAGTTGTCAGCAGTCCCACTATGCTGCTGAATCTGGCCTTGAACTTGGAATCCTCCTGAGTTGTTGGGATTACAGATGCATAATAACATACAATGTCAATATACAGCAAAAAAAAATTTTGTTTCAGAAAATTTTAGTTAAATGTACAGAAAAATAATAAATCCATGTAAATTATTAAAAGAGATTTATAAGAAAATTATTTAAAAATGTACTGTAGAAAATTAACTTTACTCCATTAAAAGCAAGTTTATCATATATATATACATGCTAATTAAAATACAAATATCAAATTGCATTAATCTAAAATAAATTAATATTGCCACAGAAAAATTATGTGAAAGAAATATTTGAAAACAAGAATTACAACAATATTTATTCAAACACATGTTACTAAATGAACCAATACTTAAAAATATTTAACATCTTATCTAAAATATTGCTAATTACATTACAAGTTAAAGGACAGAGAGATACTGGAATTTGCGTTTATATATAATATGTGGTAAGAGGGTATACATAATTAGTCTTAAATCTACACTAAGGAGAGTTCAATTTGTACACTATTTCCTTCAATCTTTCTTTGAGCAAATATAAAACAGTAAGAAAGGATACTAAAGTAGGTTGTTTTGAGAGAGCAGTTACTTCAAGTTTTATTTAAAAGGGCATGCTCTAAATATTCCTAGGAACTTCAAGATTCATAAGAAGCCACCTATAAAGAGAGCATTTCTAAAGTACAAGATTGATACTCTCCTAAGACATTTAAGGATGACTCATGCTCAACTGTCAGAAAATTCAGTGTTTATAATTTAATGGAGTTACATTTCAAATTACTTCATATATTAATTGTTTTACTTATTAGTGATCAATAATTTATACATTCATAATTATTCATTGCTCTGTAATTAAAACAAATGCATTTTCTCCATCAAAGGTTAAGAATGAAGTACTCATTAATGAATTTTACTCATTCTTTGCAAGTCATTGATAATGTAATTTCCAATCTTTTACTTGAAATACAGAACTATTTTTTTAACATAAATATGTTTCTCAGACACCTTTACCAATAGCCTTAGGAAGAGGTATACATTTATTAGCTTATACATTTGCATACTTAACCTATTATGATTATTTGCTGTTTCTGCATTAAAAACAAAGCTAATCTGGGCTTAACAAATAATGTCAAGGGGATTCAGGTCTAGGTATATAAGAGGGAAAAGAATGGTTTGTCATTAATCCAATCCAAAAAGTATTTTATGCCTAAATGATTGAAGCAGTCTTGCTCTTTCTTAGTTTTATTAGTCAATTAATGTCAATTCCAACCAATATTTGAAATTAATTCATCACATGCACTTTTTCACCTCACTTTTTCTATTATCTACTAAAGAAAGGAAGGTTTAAATATGCAAAGATGAAACTGGCAAATCTGTTGCCCTGGAGGATGAATATACAAGTTAGGGAGACAGTGGCAAAAACAGCTTTCCTGTTTCGAAGAAAATAGAATAGATACACACCCATAAGGGTATGTGCATGCCTGGGAAACTTACTTCTTATAACTGCTGCAGAGAAATTGGGCCTTCTAAACAAAGTAACATAAAGCTCACTCTTGTTTTATGTAAGAAAATGAGGTGAAAATTTACACTACCTCTGTGGCATGACATTAGCCACAGAGAAATTAATGTGCAACCACTTTAGCACTGTAGAAATCCCTGGAGACCCCAAAAGCAGCAAACACATACAAAACAAATGTATGGTGAGCTTTTCATACTCCAGGACACAGAAGAATTCTATAGAAATACCACCTTGAACAATGATAAAATGAAACACCAGAATTTAGCAATGAAACTACAAAACCAGGCAAGAAATCTAGTAGCGGGACCAGAATCAGATATGATGTAGATGTTGAAGTTATCAGATGAACTTAAAATAACTGTAATTAAAATATCCACAACTCTGATGGAAAAAGTAGACTTCATGCAAGAACAGATGGATAATGTAAGCAAAGAGATAGAAATGCTAAGAAATAATTGTAAAGGGAAATGAGAAGAATTGAAATATATCAACTGAAATGAAGAATACCTTGAATGGGCTTATCAGTAGACTAGACAGGAAAGAGGAATAAATCAGAGACCTTCATACAGGTCAGTGAAATGAGGAAAGAGACATACAAATAAACAAAGGACAGAACATCCAAAATCTTTGGAACAACTTTCAATAAAAAAAATACATAGCCAATTGAAATTCCAGATGGAGAAAGGAAAGACTCAGAATGAAGTGGTACAAAAGTACCCAAGAGTATAAAGCAAACAGTAATTTTTAAGGACTTGGGATATATAGATACTTTATTCTCAATACTCAACATTTTGTTACACATGTGAAAATTTTACTCACATAAATTGATGATGCCATATAAGCCATTAATTGATGGAATGATAAAAATCCACAACAGACTTTTTAAAGTGAAAGTAAATTGAATATTTGCAGGAACAAAGACTGAGAAGTTTGTAAAATAGTGAAATAAAATAAAATCGTAGAAGAACACCAAGCATGACAAAAGAAGAGGAAAGAGAAAGAGTAGAAGGAGGAGGAGGAAGAAGAGGAGGAGGAGGAGAAAAGGAGAAAGAAGGAAGTAAAAAGAAAAAAGACTACCTCTAGAAAGTACATATTTAATTTGAGATCATATTTAAATTGAGAGATTGTTATGGTTTGGATGTGAGATGTCTCCCCAAAGCTCACATGTGAGACAGTGCAAGAAGGTTCAGAGGAGAAATGTTTGGTTCCTAAGAGTCTTGACCTAATTAATAATTTAATCCCCTGATAGGGATTAACTGAGTGGTAACTGAAGTGGTGGTGTGTGGCTGGAAGAGGTGGGAATTGGGGCTTAGCTTTGGATATACCTTTGTATCTGGTGAGTACAGTCTCTCTCTTTCCTGATTACCAGGTGAGCTGTTTCCCTCTGCCACTGTCTTCAGCCATGATGTTCTGCTGCACCTCAATTGTGGATGAATGGATCTGGCCTTCTATGGACTAAGACCTCTGAAACTGTGAACTCTCAAAAATAAAATTTCCTTCTCTACAGGTGCTCTGGTAGCATCCTTCAGTCACAGCAGTGAAGTAGCTAACTAAAATAGAGATCAAATTTAAATTGCAGATAGGAGAAAAATCTTGAGAGCAGCTGAAGGAAAAGCAATCTTACTTAGAGAGGAAAAAGGCTAGAATTACAGCACACTTCTCACTAGAAATCACTCACACAGAAGAGGGTGAAATAAAACATTTAAAGTGTTGAAAGAAAACAATGAAGAACAAAAACTACTAACCTCAAATTCTATATTTGGTGAAATTATCCTCATAAATTGAAGAAAAAAACACTTGTCAGGTAAACAAAATGAAGTGAATCTGTCACCAATACATAGAACTGCCTATAAGAAGTGGTAAAGAAGTTAGAAGGAAATGAGTGAGGGCAGACACTTGGATATACACCAAGGAAAGAAGACTTGAAGAAGTAATATCAGTGGTAAATCATATCTCCTAGCTTACATTCTTAACCACTCTAGATGATTACCACTTAAATCAATACAAGTAACTACATATTCGCTAGTCTCTGTATCCCTCAGAATCTGCAGCGGAATAAATCTGGGACTTCTCATAGTTATCAAGATCAGCAGCTGCTCATATCTCTTATTTAAAATGATTTAGAATTTGCATATAACCCATGCACATCCTTCTATGCACTTTATATAATTTCTAGGTTCCTTATAATACCCAATATAATGTAAATGCTATGTAAATAGTTGTTCTGGTATTGTTCAAGGAGTAATGATGAGAAAAATGTCTGTACAGGTTTAGTAGAGTTGCAGCAATTTCTTTAAAAATTGTTGCATCTGCAGTTCAGAATCCATGGACACGGAGGACCTCGCCTAATTCTTGAATGGTGTCAAGTGAGTGGATAAGTGATACACGACAGCACTGCCACAGGAGGAGTTGGAGGTAAAAGTTATTGACTAACTTTGCAACACATAAGACGGAATAGTGTTATTTGAAGGTAGAATTGTGCAAGTTATAAATGCATAATAAAAAGTCTAGAGCAACTAATGAATTTTTTTTAAAGAAGTATCATCAGTGCACTAATGGAGGAGATAAAAAGGGATAATAAAATGCTCAATTAAAATTAAAGATGGCAGTAAAATGAGAGTAAATAAACAAAGGATGAATTCAACAAATGAAAAATAGTTCAAACTATATGTTTTAAGTATAATACAACTGCATCAATACACATTTTACATATGAAGAGACAAACATTAAGAGATTTTTCAGGGTAGATAAAAATTAACAAGACCTAACTGCATCTTCTCTAAGAGAAACTCAATTAAAATATAAACATTCAAATATATGGCTTGAAAAAAGATGTGGAGAAATATATACTGCACTAGAACTAACTAAAAAATGCAAGGTATGTGATTTTACAAATATTAGATTTCAGGATAAGCAAGATTACTAGGGTCAAAAAAAGGCATAGTATAACAACAAAGGGTCAATTTTGAAAAAGGCATAATGATGCTAAACATATATACACCTAACAACAGAGTATTAAAGCAGATGATGAATAAACTTAGAGAACTGAAAGGAAAAATAGAAATATTCACAATCACACATGAAAAAATGGGCTATCCATAATTTTCAGACCCATTGGACATAAAGTCACTTAGAGAATATTAAACTGGATCTAGTGCTCACTTTAGCAGCACATACACTAATACTGGAACGATACAGAGAAAATTAGTAGTGCCCCTATGCAAGATTACACACAAATTTGGAGAGCATTTCATATTTAAACAAACAAAAAACTGGTACAAATTGACACTTACAGAATTATTTTTTTCAATAATACCAAAATACATATTTCCCTAGAGCTTGCATAGGACATTTACTAAGATAAATCATGTTCTGAGCAGTAAAGCTCATGATTATTAATGAATTTATAAATACTAGATAACAAACAAAGTACTTTTCAGGCCACAAGTGAATTGAGCTAGAAATCAATAACAGAATGGTAGCTGGAAAATTCTCAGATATTTAGAAATTATCAACCTAGCATGAAATGACACAAATGTTTAAAAAATGTCCCAGGAGAAATTAAAACCAATTTTGAATTGCATAAAAAAATACAATCTACCAAAAATTTGTAAGCAGCAGAAAGAGTGTTTAGAAGCATGATCATAGTATTTAATGTACAGTAAACAAATCCAAAATTAATAATGTAAATTTTCATCTTAGAAATCTAGGGATGATCAATTTATGTTCCTGAAAAAAATAAAGAATAAGAGCAGAATTTGATGAAATTTTAATCAGTAAAACAAAAGAAAATATCAATAAAACCAAAAGCTGTTTATATTAATATTTTAAAAGTTATTAAAATTTATAAATTTATAAACTTTTAGAAAATTATTTCTATAAAAATTTATGAACTTCTAGACTACCCAACAAAGAGAAAATACTCAAATTATCAATAATAGAAATGAAAACAGCAGCTTTGTTACTGGTTACATTGACAGATTAATGAAAGAATACTAATGATCTCAATGTTCATAAATTTTTAACTTAGATGAATTAGACAAATGTCTTGAAAGATACAAATTACCAAAATGCATGCAAAGATAAATGGATAATACAAATAGTCCAATATCTATTAAACTTAAGTAATGATTAAATCCTTCCAAAAAATCCACAAAACTAGACAATCTCACTGAGTTCTAAAAAATATTAAACAGAAATAATATAAATTCTCCAAATGTCTTCCTGAAAATAGAAGCAGAAAGAATATTTCCCAGCTCATTTTATAAAATCAGTATTATCATAATACCAAAAGAAAATAAAGGAATTATGAGAAAGAAAACCACTTACAAATACCTCTCATGATTATAGACACAGAAGCCTTTAACAAAACGTTAGCAAACTAAATTCAACAATGTTTACAGACGATTATACACCCTGACCCAGAGTGATTTATTCCAAATACTTAAGCTGGTATTATAATGCTGTAAAAATAGTCAATGTAATCTACCATGTCAAGATGCTATAAGGGAAAATCATATAATCTTTCTAATCAATTAAAATAAAGCATTTGATAAAATCCAAGACCGACCCATTATAGTTAAAAAAAAAAAAAAATTCAGAAAATTGTAGACTGCAGTTTTGTCAACATTATAAAAAATCTCCAGCTCATGTTCCATTTTGAGTGAAAGACTGGACATTTTACCCCTACAAATGAGAGCAAGGACATGATGTCCTCTGTCACAATTACTAATCAGTATCATTATGGAAGGCATAGCTGGTATGAAAAGAGAGGGGGTGACAGAGAGAGATGCAGAGAGAGAGAAAGAAGGAAATTGATTTATAGATTGGAATGAAAAAATAGAATGTCTAATTTTGCAAGGAGAAACAATAAATCCACTGACCTAACTAGAGATATATTCGACATAGGACATTTTTGAACTGATTGTCTCCCTCAATTGCACTGGGTTTGTATCATTATTAAAGAAATAAAAATATCAGTTTGAGACTCAACACTGTGCTCCTGCTAATTTGACCTATTCCTTCCTTACCTGGGGCAGAAAATATCTACTTATATTTATAAATAAATACAAAGATGGAGAATTGTAAGAGATTTTGGAAAGGGCGTTAAAACACAGCATTTTCCAAAATTCTCTTCTTACTGTATCTCATCTGTAAAACTGAATTAACAAGTGTCTATAAGCCAGGTGTGGTGGTGCACACCTGCAATCCCAGCTGCTCAGGAGGCTCAGGCAGGAGGATCCCAAGATGAAAACTCCAGCCTCAGCAACTTAAAAAGGACCTAAGCAATCAGCAAGACACTGGCTCAAACAAAAAAGAAAAAAAAAAAAAAGCTGGATAAGTAGTTCAGTACTGAAGCAGTGTGGCCCTGGGTTTAATCCCTGGTACCAAACAATAACAATGAAGATGATGATGATGAAGATGATGATGATGATGATATCTACATTAGGATATATTTGAAATAGTGTGGTGCTCATCACTTAATAATAATAATAAAATAGAATGAGTCCACTTACTGAAAGCTAATGGAAATGGAAGGCTACTAAGATTAAATGCCTGGTAAAGAGGAAATAATGGAATTATTCTTAAAGACAATAGTACAACATGGCAATGGCATGAAACATGGGTTTGCAGAATCTCAAGGGATCAGTTTACATTTGAGGACCATGTAGAGGAAACCAACTTCCTTATAATCCTTACATGTCTTCCTTATTGTCTTCTGAGAAAGGACACAGCTACTGGGGAAGCTCCAGCAGGGCGAGGACATTACTGGAAGAGAAATGGAGCTGAGTGCTTCTCAGAAGTGAGAGAAGAGGTGACCTAAGAAGCATCCAGCCACATTCTTATCCATTTGAATTCAGAATTAAAGGACATTGAGGGTGACTGCTCTTTAATTTCCACCACTTTAATTTCCTTTTATGAACAGTTGTGAGAAATAGGAGCAAAAAAATGGTCTAAGCTTCATTTTGCCTGCAAGCTGTCCTATACTGGAACCATGAGAACTGAATCGGAACTTCGGATCAGGAAGGAAACAGGAGCACTTTCCAGATGAGAACATGGATCTGAAATTTCCTGTTTTCCTTGTGACCCTTTCTAGTGGCGATGGCCATTGATTTTAAAGCAAGAAGGTGTTGTAGGTACATTGACATATTTCTACAATAGATAGTCTTTGGAAATTAGACCTTTCTAATGCTATCTGAAGTTAAAAATATGTTCGTAATTCTAAGACAGGACATTCTTTCATTTTTTTCCCCTGTGAATTCCTACATCACAGAGAACTTAGAAAGAAGTCAGTTATTCACTCTTCATATTTTTGTCTAGATGTTCAGTTTGTCAATTCTTCCCCCCACCCCATCCTTTCTCTAAACTCTTAGTACTATGTTCAATGAAGCAAAGTTAATCTGGAAAGTTTTTTAGGAATCTGTTTTTTTTTTATTCTGTTATCAAACACAGACTTATTGAAATATAAGTTAATGGACAAAGAACTGAACGTAGTTGATGTGTGCACTTTGGGCTTTGGCCAACACTCAGGAATGATGCTTTCAGCACAGCCAAAGTCACAGGTCTCTCAGACACCTTCAGAGACTACTATGTTCCTTGTTTATTATTTTGTCTATGTGATAAGAACAGTTAACAAGAAAACAAAGTTTTGAATGAGTGATACTTTAGCTTCAGTTCTGCTAAACATGATAAATAAGTTCAAAAGAACTTTTTTGCACAAAACATTGCTTATTCAAGAGCCATATGCTGCTAAAAAGAAGGGGACATGTCAGACAGCTTATTGTACTTATGAAAGGCAAAGATACCTAATCACTTTAATAGACACTCTGCTAGCTGAAAAAGAAAAAAGGTTAGTTTTCATCACAAATTTTTTATTTAAGTGTGTGAGTTGATTTAAAGGAACAACCAAAATTTCATTACTAAAGGAATAACCAAACTGATTCTCATTTTGTCAATATTTCGAGTTAAATTTTGAGGTTCCTACTGAGCACCAAATTGAAAAAGCTTCTTTTTACTAAATCATAATATATATCTCATTGCAGTTGTGCTAAATTACCTATTGTCAAAGACAAGAGTTATTATTTTAAAAAAACTCTTTCAGTCATTCCCTGTTACAGAAATACCATTGTTCCTAAACCTCTCATTTCAGATAAAGAAAAATATTCTGACATTCATGCAACAGAAACTGGCCATACTTGCTATTTCTTCAATTGACACTTGATTTGAACTTAGAGCATCTTCACAATATATATCTTTGTACTGAGGGCTGAACCCAGGGGCATTTTACCACCAAGCTACAAGCTATATCCCTAATTCATTTTATTTTATTTTATTGTTTTAATTTTGAGACAGGTTCTTGGTAAGTTGCTGACGGTCTCATTAAATTCCTGAGCCTGGCCTGAAACCTGCCATCTTCCTGCCTCAACCTACTTAGTCACTGGGATTATAGGTGATGTCACCATACCAGCTCTACTGCATGCATTTTTAAAAGCTCGTGGAACAAGGCTGCCAAATGAGATTCTTTCTTCATTTTCAAGAACTTTGTTTTCAATAGTCAGGGCTGTGCTGCTGGCCAGTGACTGGTAAATATTGGTCAACCTCTATCTTTTCCTCTTTTCCTTGGCATTTAATAAAAAAAACAAATGTATGTGTCTTATGTTCAATTCACAATCTCTCTCTCTCTTTCTCTCCCTTTTCCTCACTCACGATCTTCAGAATTTCAATCTCTCTGTGTGCTCTCTTTCAATTATCTGATTAGATAAATTATTAGCCTCTTGAATAATAAGGGAAGAGCCAGCATGCTACAACTCACATCTGGAGTGGGAGAGGGAGGTGTTGCTGGGAATACTGGTAGAATAGGTACTCTTTCTATCCTGCAGCACAGCAGACAGGAGAACAGGAAGACTTGAACTGCCAGAAAATAATGAGTTCTTGTTTCGCTTGAGGAATTGCATATACAAAAGTCAGGTGAAAACTAGAAGCATTTTCATTTTGAAATAATAATCCAATGTAAAAAAAAAAAACCCTGAGTTCAAAGCATGTTTATTCAATACATATGTA